CAAACTCCTTGATAAACTGTGGGTGGTCCGCTGGGTTTTCATGAAACACCGAGGTTCAAACCGGGGAGTCTTAAAGAACTACTATCCCTAAACGGCGAAGGGTTAACATCAGACTCATCACGCTGAGCATCATGCATATCATTACAATTAACAGGGAACTCATCCTTACTTACTTTTTCGTCTGCTTTCATGGTTCCGCATCTTTTTCTTGACACAGGCATTATCCAACGTCACCAAAGAGTCCAAATTGCGTTGATAATCCTTGTCCAAAGAGAAGCTGGCTGTATATCCAATAAGTACACCCGGATGAGTTCTAATAGGAGCTCCAAAACGAATACAAACTGCCAAAGAACTTATCCCTATGTTCCTATTGTTACGAAGAAGCTCCGATCCAGTAAAAACTATGTACTTCCTTGGACTTTAACTCCAATACACCGGTATATTTTCTGTCAATTAAAGCGGAGAACAGTCAAAGTCCATAAATAAATATTTTAGACAGAATTATGGAGTACTTTTATCCGTTTTTCGTCGTCCCCTTCGAACTTTGAGCATGGTGCTTCATAAACACAGCTCATGAGAAGTTTGTGTTTATTTCCATGTGAGATGATCCGGAGTGGATTAGATATCGCATTCAGCATTTCATCTCCCACCTCACCGACTACGAATGAGTCACATATATATATGAGACATCCTCCACCACGCTTGCGATCTCTCTTTGCACGGTGTAGAATGTAATCACACATACCGAAATGCACATCAGGTATAGAGGGTGAGCGTCATAATTCGGAACTACGGTAGGCGTGGCCACTTATACTAATGTCCTTAGGTCGGATATCTTATTGACTAGGGGACGCGCGTTAATTGATTTTATCGTGAAAAAGTCGCGGTATATTACAGACTGGCTTAAAATATTACCATGACTTGATTCTATAAATGCGTCAGGAACAAAAGAGTTTATGGGTGAAAGGTAAGTCGAAATGGGTGTCTATACATCGTTGTTAGAGTGCGACAAGGTAGTCCTAGGTGCCATGGGTTGTACTGTGGGGGTGGAATGCAGACAATATATTCCATAGGAATATGATTCTCACATATTCCCACAGTTCAATAAGGCATTGGGAACATAATACAATATATCTGTTTCAGCACTCTGTTTGTTGCTAGAGACAATACTTTACGCGCAGTTCAGTTGTGAGATAGGAACAGAATACTATGTATATTTGAACATTCCATTTCATATCGTTTAATGTAAACCAAAATCGCATGCTCAGTGATTGGTTAACGAATATAAACTTTATATATAAAGCGGTTTGATTAATGAAAAATACCTTGGTTTCCATGTCTTGCATTCTGTTGTCGAATTACTAGTGATTCAGGACACCTAGAAAATTTACCGTGGGCTCCTGTATGTAGGGATAGTGATGGTTTAGACTAGGATGTGGTTTATGAGGTACGCTATGGTAAGAGGGAGGGTGGCGCTAGCTGATCAGTAGATATGGTGGTGGTCACTGAGGTGAATCGTCCCATTCTGTAGCAACAGCAATTTTCTGATTTTTCTGAGGGCTTAGATCTTTATCTTGAAAAAGATAATAATGAACGCCTAGACAGATCATGCTTCCGCCTTTAAACATATACGATTCGCTAGGCCTATCGTTGAGATGCGACCACGTGGGCTCTGCACAGATTTATGGGGCATCTTGTGAATTAACTTGCTTTCCATTGTCGGATCTATGAATAGCACTTCACAATGTCCCGTCTCACTCACTTTTTTATAACGTCTATATTTTGATCCTCATTATATCCCACTAAACCTAACATTTTATAGCTCTTCATGAATTCGATTCGACTTATTCTATTCCTATTATCTGTAAAGTACGGTTATGCACCAAATGCACAATAAGGTATGAAATAAAAACAACCGGCTTGAGAATAATTGTATTCAAGCCAAAAGTGGACATCATGATGGTAAGAAATATATGGGTAGCATTATACATTGCAAATGAACGTTGTCAGCCTAGGGATTATATAGTTTCCTGTTGTATTTCCTTTACGAATGCATTTATTAATGATATATTGCACTTACTTATCTCATTACGCTTTAATGATTCACCTTAGTACTTTTACTTTTCTAAAAGAGCTTTCAGTCCCATGTAAACATTGTACTTACCTCAATATTGGTGGGTCTCGTATGCCTACAATCACGGGTTGAAAACGAAACGAAGTCGATTTTTTAGCACGACCTGGGGGACCAATGCGCAATTCAATAACTTTACGGCCTGGTTCAGACAATGGGTGTATATATATATCAAATATTTATCTGTTGAAACATTATTGACTTGTAGACAATCTACGATTTGATATTACATCATACTTGATCGTGAATGTAAAAATGGCATGCATTTTCATGTAAATTTATGTGTTCATATGAAAATATACATTATTATTAAGATGTTTACATCAGCGTGTTATCCAGAATGCCACTCTGCGTCCTGTTTCCGATTCTGTGGCCAGAAAAATAGGGTGGGGGAAGTTTTGGTTGGTTGCAGAACTCTGAGATTTTCGAAGCCTGTATATCCAGAAGATGCGGCATGCTGAAAAGCATTATGTTTGGGCAAACCTTTCTTAGGACTGCTTATAACAGTTCTTGCCGTCTTACTACCTCTCCGAGCGGATTTGACTGCAGGTATACTGATATCTGAATCAGTCTCCAGTTGTCCTGGCAAGCATGCGGGTTGCGCAGTTCGCTCAGTGTTTTCGTCAGTACTAGCTGGCTGTTCCTGTACGCCATACACTCTAGGTGATTTTAAGTCCGAAGAGGTGACAAAATTATTGATACACGTCTTTCTGCGTTGGCAGGATATTTTGTCTTGGTCTATTGTAACATACTTGAAATCTAGTAAGGCTGCTAGAATCAAGACAGTTATCGGACCTAAAAATTACGAGACAGATTGAGTCGACGCCTTACGAAGCAGAACGTTAACCATGCCATGACAATTGAGGATTATGTTTTTGATAGTTTTAAGGGACGTGGAGTCTGGTATATTGTAAACTATTACTTTATGAGATGAAGCTGTGCGCTTTACCACCTCAGTGGATAAATAGTCAATTAGGCTTCCCGCTTCATGTGGATTATTTGAAACAGTTTCATAATGTTTCTCCAAGGAGCAGGCTACTTCACCTAATTCCTCAAGCTTTGCCTGAATTCCATGCATTAGAGATTTGACTTGCTTAATATCATAGCGGTTTTACGTGATATTTTAGGCTGACCGTTGTATACAGTCAAACAGACGTAGACTGCCCTGGAGTTCATTCAAAACAGGTTCTCATAATTTTTAAATTGTAAACGCTTCACTAAGGTCACCATCGAAATTGAGCGACAACCTAAACTTCGTTCCTTTTGCTGCTAGTTACGACCAACCGATAAACAACATGTATTTGGGTAAGTGCTATGCCTCCACGTGACTGAACGCCATTTCAGGAAGAGAAGGACGTCCTGGGAAGCTGAAAAGTGGTATAAAGTGCAAATATGGATAATACATCATTGGAAGTACATTTACAAGATAAATACAAGAAGAAGCTATAGAGTACTTGGGATGACAGTACACATTTGCAGTGTTAATGCTAACCATATTGGTCATACCGTGGAAACTATGACATTTTCGAAGAAAATATAGTTATCCTTAAACGTGGGTGTTGTCGCTATGTTTTTTCCATCACAGCAACCACACTTAGGTGAGGCAGGAATGTGAATGAAAGAAGTAAATTGTAGCCTTATGAAAGGCCAAGGGAGTTGAGAAAAAATAGAGCATAATAGTAATTAGACACAATGGTTTTTGTGAAATATATGTAACATTTCCGAGAGAAGTGGTTTGAAAGATTAGAACCTGTTTGATATGCTGAGCTGTAAAATGTCTGACGAATTTGTAAGGCCCATGGGGTAGCAAGAAGCTGAGCAGGCTTTTAGATGTTAAGAGAAAAAACATTTCTTAATAATTTAGATCTGTGCAGTCATTCTATTTTCTAGGTCAATTGTTTTATATTCAGGATCTGAGCTCATGTTTGATTCTCGATCTGTCAAGAAATCTATGCTACTGTCCTAGAGATAGGAGTTTTTCATATTTGTGACCACTACCATATATACTGATTAGCATGCAGTTGATACTGTATTAGAGGTGAGGTAATTTCAATCGGAATCAATAACAACTGTGTTTCAACAAACATTGTTTTTAGAATTTTGGCACATAATTTTCGAGGAAAATATATCAGAGAGCAATAGATGAGTATAGGCGGAAACACTTGCAAAAATATCACCAATTCCGGACGAACTGAGTCATTTTGAATCAAGCATCCCGCCTTTTCAGTCCAATGACCCACTAATCTGTAACGAAAGCCACTTTATATTGTCTTTCTCAATAGTGAACACAAAGATTTTACTCACCGCATCAGCGTGACAACCCATTAATTTCCCTCCATTTTTTATCTCCTCTCATCATGTCATTCTCCTCTCCTCTAGTACGTCGGTAGCACATTGTTAGGAATCTTGGCGACCATGCACATGGTTTGGAGTCCGATACGCTGCCGACGCACACCTGATATCTATGGTCGGCCTGAAAAATTTGGGCTGCCAATATCGCATGCTGAAAATTCCATACCTGTATCAAAAAATACGGTGTGGAATCAAGCTAAAATAAAAAATAAAAAACACCAGTCTTCACTTTCCGCAGTAGTTTTATTATTGCGGTGGTTTTTATTTTCTCCACTATCACCTTGATGGGATGATTGCACATATCACTGACTAAAATGCATTTGCAAATGTAATTAATACAAATCATCTTCCAGATTATAAAACGCTTTCCACAGACAACGATTCGACGAATATGAAATAAGAATACAGAAAACTACATTTTTGGAATATCAACGCAATCCATTTCGAAGCCGGTCATTGGGGATGCTAATGAAGCATCACTGTGTTTGTATAGACTGCAACGACTGTATGTTGTACTCTAGGGAAGCCGCTTGATTTGTACGTGATTTCCCAAGGATGGCACTATCTGTTGTTAAAGGGAGACTTGAGAGGGTGCTGGACAAAAATTTGCAGGATCTTGTTCGGGGGATTAGAAAACATGGCGTGGATGAGGTAATTCATTCAGAAAGCACTAACTAGGTATATATCAGAATAAGTACATCGGCGACTGCCTGGATGAAATCAAAAATGAACTAAAACAAGGCTCTTTTTCTGTCAAGGCGAACGCCATAAGCAAACTTATTTATGTAGGTTGGAAGAATTAGTACTGAAAACATTCAGATACAAATGCTTGGCTATGACATAAGCTGGTCTGTGTTCAATATTGTGGAAGTTATGAGTTCTCAGAAATTTACTTTCAAAAGGATAGGTTATTTGGCTGCTTCTCAAAACTTCCATTCTGGTACAGACGTCCTTATGCTGGCTACAAATCTCATTCGCAAGGTAATCTCCTTTCGTTTAGCTGAATGTGATAGGACTTAACAAGCACCAATTTATATGACGCTGGGATCGCGTTATCTGGTGTCGCTTGTTTTATTAATTCAGATCTGGCTACGGACTTATACCCTGACATCCTAAGTCTAGTAAGTTTTATATGTTATACGTAACGTGAGCTTCATGCTATTATTTCTTGTTTTGTCAAACAATTAATTTATGATCGTGTGGTTTACACACATATTTACTATTATTAAGGAGATAAGTCCTAGAATGCACATTTATCTAGAATTAGAAATTATCAACGCATGTGTTGCACTAGTAACGATTGATTCACATTAAATACTTAACGTTTGTATTTGCAGTTTGAATTAACGTGAGTTAGGGACCACGGTGTTTTTAAAAGTTGTGTTTTGATTGCTTTTTTTGGATTCATCGAACATGTTTAAAGAGTACACGCTTGTATCCTTACATCAGTTGTTTCATGCTCTGCTCGTATTGTGACTACTGTTTAAGCGAGGCCGCAGTTTAGTGCGATGTGTTGCGTCATAAATTGCAGAATAGCTGTTATCGTAAATCCTGTGTTGCTTAGTTCTCCTTTTTTCCACGCATTTGTGCAGCTCTTCGATTCGACCTGACAGTATCAGAGTGATAATTATGTTTCTTAGTAATATTACCCTGACTTCTAGGTTGAATAAACGTCTTGCCTTTTTGCCAAACCGGAACGGTATATGATCTCATCCTGTAGTGCAATCTAATCAATTCTGGGTTGGATGTATTATTAGTGACAGAGTAAGATTTTGTTTAATTTGCCAGCCTGTGCTTCTGTATCACTTGTGACTACCAATTAAATGAAGAATGCAATGCATACTAGTCGTTTGTGTTTTACTTTATAACTATATTTACTTTAAAGACAGAAGTTAAAATATAGTTACATGTTTTGGTCGTTGCATTACTCGCGTGTGGTAAAACTCCACACTGTAAAAGGTTATTTTATAAAAGGGAATGAGTTGTATAAGCTATGCGTTGTACATATCAAACTACTATCTACTTGGATGAACGATGTTAGCTGGAGTATGACAGATGTGATCCATCCAAGATTTGATGCCCCTATTTTCTGGTTAAGTGACTGACTGGTTTAATTTAAAACAAGGTAACAGGTATATATTCGTCGTTTTTATCACTTTTGTTCATGTGGCTGTTGTTCTATTTCAGTTCTCCAACTGCATATTTGCTAGAAGCATGACATCCTAGATAACATCACTTCTGTGCTAGTTTCTATTTTGCTGTTTTTTTCTTATTTGTTATCGTAGAAACAAACTCAAATTGTGTTCTGCATGTCTTCTCATGTAGGCTTGCGCAGACTAGTTTAAGAATCCAGTTCGGTTGTTTTCAGTACGTCCCTATGGAAAATTTATGGAACGAGTGTTATTTATCACAAAATAATTGAGCAAAGAATATCCTTTTCGATAATTTCCTCTTCTGGCTCTACAATTACATATATATGTTTGTATACATATTAAGAAGCCTAATTTGTGCACCCAAAACAAGTTAGTTCAGACATTATCCATACCTTGGCCATCCAGGTTTGAGTGGTCCTGAATTTTTGTGGAATTTCCTAAATTTAGTTGATATTCTATTTGCTACTATATCTTTATGACTATTATTGCTATTATTATTATTATTATTATTATAATTTAAACATCTTTGATGAACTGTAATCCTATTGATCTTACTTTACAAGTCGATATTATTTAAAAAACAGTAATATTGTTATTGACTATCCATCTAGAATATTCTGTGCAAATATAAACAAACATATATATATTATTGTAGAGCCGGAAGAGGAAATTATCGAAAAAGATATTTTTCGCTCAATTATTTTGTGTTTTATAGATGTCTGAATGAATGTTTTGCTATTTATCAGTTAAACGGGCTGGTCCAAGCTAACGCTTTAGTAAATTTTTACTTTATGTGTCTTCCACCAAAATTAATTTATTGGTCCTTTACATTATTTCTAGTTCAATCCTATCTCAATCAAATCCCTTATTGATTTTGGGTTTTTGTTTATTTTCTATCGCTAAGATGAATTCCCCTAAACCGTATTTACGAAAGAAAGCTGTATTATTACTGTACAAGGTCTTCTTGAATTACCCAGAAGCACTTCCTATTTGTTTTCCACAGCTGAGAGATAAACTTGATGATTCAGATCCAGGTTAGTTAATCTCATCTAACAAATTTTGTGTAAAGCACATATCTGAAAGTCTTTTTTGTGTGGTCTCTTCAGTTGGGGTTGTTTAAACGAGATTATTATATCAAAAATGCCCATTGTTTAGGTCAGGTGAAGCTACAAGCAAACCATACTGTTTTGATGTAGGTCTTCAAACTTTACCATGATATAGATATTTAAATATATTTAAAATTTTGATCATTGATGAAGACTATTGGGCAGATAATAATAATGTTAGCGATAAGAAAAATATAATTAGTTGATGCTGGCGACCATTATAACTATTGTTGTCTCCTTTAGTTCCTAGAGGAACATAGGGCTTCCACCGCACGTCTCTATTGTGTTTGGTTCTCCGTTTTCACCTGGCTCCACGTCTGCCCACATACTTTCATCTCCTCTTCGCATGACCTCCTCCATGTCACCCTCGCACTGACCACCAACTAACTCGCCGATTACCATTCGGGTTCAACTCTAGCGATTGCCTGGCGTGTGATGTCATTTGACTTTTTTCTTAAAGTATGGTCTCCAAGCCACCTCCATTTCTTACTGAATATTTGTTGCATAATTGGTTCCTGCTGGGTTTGTTTGTTCACGGGGACCTTTGTTGGTGATGTTTTCTGGCCATCTAATCTTGAGTACTGAGCGAAGACATATTAATGAAGGTCTGTAGTTTGTTCGAGGTGCCCTTCGTCACGTGGCGCGAAGTTTGATCCGTATAGTAGCACTGACTTAACATTGGAGTTGAAAATTCGGATCTTATTTTCCATGCTGAGTGCTGTTGATCTCCACACAGACTTGGGAGTAATGAAAGTTTGCCTCACTTTCTCGATCCTCGCTTTGATATCCTTGTCAGTTCCATCTGTAGTTAAAATAATGCTTCCCAGGTGGGTGGGTAGGTAAAGGAGGTTGCTTCCTTCAGATTTCTCCCATTTGTGCTGATTGTTGTCCGTTGTTGTTACTGCTGTTGGCGAGGTATCTTCATAACCTCTGTTTTCTCCATATTCACCTGGCGACCATAAGAATAATAAAAGACTACTTGATCATATAAACAACTTAGTAATTGAATTACGCTGGAACCCTATAAAATTGTCATTCACCTAATACCAAAGATGAAGTAGATGAACAATCAAACAAATCTAATAAATGTGAAAAAGGATTGAGAGGATTTAATGATGAGTTAAATTTACTGTAACCGCCAGAAGAACACAAAGGTAGGACAAACTCACTTTAAATACATAATCTAGAGTTATCACCTCGAATTCATCTGTGCAGAAGGCGAATTCGACTTCGCCTGGAAAATTTGCTGGGATATAGTCGGTAACCTTGAAATCGCTTCTCTTGTCCATTTAGTAACCGCTATCAGATAAATAATACTTACTGATTTTGTTAGACGTGTTCTCAACAATACATGTGTTTGGTAGCCTTGTTGCTCATAACATACGACTTCGTCTGCGGGAGCAGTTAATTTTGTTGTTATTCAAGTGTTGGTTTGCAGGGATTTGAATATCAATGTAATGCTCACTAGCAATTGGCCCTAGTTACCTGGATTCTAGTGGGAAGTCGTGACTAGTGGCGTACAGCAAATCGGATGTGAGGACAAATACTTGCCGATGACATTCGCTAGCGGTCAAACTGACAGGAGTTGGAAATCATGGACTGGCCACTGGATTGGGTCCCAGTAGTGGCTTAATGGTCTGCAAGCTCGCCTTATAACCAGAAGATCCTGGGTTATAACCTCAGCGGTTTCATACTACTGAAGAGTCACAAATCAGGGTGACGAAACAGCTATCTAGTACTCCCAGGTGGTTTTCCAATGGTCCTCTAACCGATATCAGTTCATGATGAAATCCTGAATTTTATTGTTGTTAATTTTAGCTCCAACAAAAAGTTACTCATATTTTTGTATACTTGAAATATATTTCTCAACTTAGAGGAAGGGGGGGTATCTGTTATAATTTCTCATTATTCTCCCAAAAATTGCAACCTGATATAAAACTACATGCATTATCTAAAAATCCTTATAAACAGGAAGAGACTATCCTTTGGTGTAAAAGCAACAATAATGTCAGTAAATCAGATTTATTGGATTCTTTTTATTGCAGTCTAATTTTTATATTCAAAAAAATATTTCTCACTTATTTTAGGGGTACAATCAGCTGCTGTCAATGTTATATGCGAATTGGCTCGTAAAAATCCGAAAAATTACCTCTCTCTTTCGCCTATATTTTTTAAACTGATGACAACATCATCTAATAATTGGGTTCTCATTAAAATTATTAAACTGGTAAGATAATTCTGTGATAACAATGTATGACTTCTTATAAATTAGTATGATTATTTATCACGCATTAATGCTTTTTGAATATCTATACTATTTTCTATGCACTGAACTATTGTCGATAATGTTCAGATTTTGAATTAGTTGTGTTCACTGAACTGGTTGGCGATTTAGTTGAGAAACTCGTCATCCTTCTGGACAACATCGTTTCAGCCCAGATTTTAGTATGAAATCTCCATAAATGATATATAATTGTGTCTCCTAGCAACCATTTTCGTGACTGGTAGTTGATTTACAGCTCTACTGATCATTTTTACCCACAGAAGAAACCCTGTGCAGATATTTTTTAAAAGAGTTCAAACCTAAGACTGTAGCACTTTAGTGTTGAACATAATGGAGGAAAAACACCTACTAACCGTCTTCAAAAAGAATGCATATCCTCCTCACAATTTCATTAAAAAGTGTTTAAACTCGAGTCATAACACCAACAAGAAACCGTCATCAAGGATTACAAAAAAATTCATCCTACCATATGAATAAAAAGTATCTCTGAAATAACAGCTAGAATATTAAGACCGTTTAAAATACATATAGCACACTACTAGCCAGCCAGCTAGCCAACACAATCACTTCATTCGATATTGTGCACACCGAAAGATCCAACAGAAAAAGAAGGAAGATAAAATTAATACCATTTACAAAATAAATTGCATCCATGAACTGCAATAAACATTACATCATTTCAAGTGGGCATCCCCTTGGAATCCGAGTCCAAGAACACAAATTAGTTGTAAAAAGGCATGATATATATATTCTTTCATATCAATGCATGTAGTTAATTATGGACACAAATTTGGTTGGCATAATGTAGAGAGAAAACACCAAAAATACTTACAGAGAATTTCTAGAAGCTTGGTACTCAAGTGAGTCAGTCAACGATTAATAAACATTATTATAGACCAAATATGCCAGCTAATAAAAAGTAAATCACGTGACAAGAAAGTTTAAATTCCAAGTCAGTAATAAAAATGATCAGTAGAGATGTAATCAACTACCAGTCACGAAGATGATTGCCAGGAGACACAATTATATCATTCATGAAGAATTCGAATGAATCCATTTTATACTAAAAATGCTATATATATATATATAATTTTATGCTTTAATTCCTAGAGGAACATAGGGTTTCAGCTGCGCATCTCCATCGCCTTCTGTCTTCTGCCAACTTTTTCATCCTGCTCCAAGTCTACCCACATGCTTTTATCTCCTCTTCACATGACCTCCTGCAAGTCACGCTTGCACTGACGACCAACTCGCCGCTTCCCTTTCGGCTACGAATAGATCTTGTTTGTCCCATGCTTAACCTTGCTGGATGATGTCTGGAAATACGATGATAGGCCTGCCTAATTGTAAGCCCGATGTAGCTGGCTCCGCAGCTGCAGTCAAACTGGTAGATATACACAGAGGAGGCAGATTTAGATAGTTTATTTCTCGAAAGTAAAACAAGGGTGGTTGTGAAGAGACAAAGTAACCTCTGCTGCATAATAAGCTCTTTTAACTGCATTAACTCCCCTAGGTGCTGAATTCATATTTCTTAATTACTCTTCATTTTTACAAAATTATGCATTATTCAATCCACGTGTTATAACCATTTCTAACTTTTAATTGTGTGTATTAATTTTCTTCGTTAATTATTACCTTATGTGACATGTTGACACTGACTAATTATTGTTAACAAACATATCAGTGCCACTTGATGATTGGTAAATTGTTGTGTAATGTAATAAAAATGTTGTATACGTGTATATTAGAGTAGAGAGCCAGATATGAGGATCTAATTGAAAAGTAAATATTTCTTCGCTCAATCTTTCTGTTTTCTAAATATCTAAATGGGGATTTTTTTTTCTATATTATGTAATTTATAACTTATTTTTACTTTTGAAGCCACTTTTGAGTCATCGTTATATCAATTGTGTTAACTCCCCCCCCGTATTACTCAATAATAGACTACTAAACATTTTTTGTAAATATATATGCGACTATTTACAGCCTGCGAAGATGATTTCATCGATAAAGAAAATTCACTTCATTGTATTGTCTTTTTATTTTTGTCATGACTCAATAAGTATTTTCGGGTGATTATTATGGTTGGTCAAATTGAAAACCTGTTCGATGAATCGCAATCTCAAACGACAACACGAAGAACTATATATATATATATATATATATATATATATATATATATATATATATATATATATATATATATATGAGATTTATTTGTTGTTGGTTGATCGTTATACAATTTATGACACGGTGTAAGTGTACGATGTGGATCAGATAGTTTATGTTCTGGTAGTCACATCGTAAACCGAGATCAAATTAATTAACTATAAAAGACGAGTACGTTCAACGTAAATGAGTTTTATAGCCTTTAAGGATTAAAAGGAGTGTTGAGTCGTGCACAAATTTCACTACTACTACTACTACTACTACTACTACTATTAACTGATTATGTCATCTGATCCAGTTTATTTCGCCTAAGTATCTTTGTTTTTTACAATTTCTTGTTGTTTTCATTAATTACCTATCATGATAAATAATCCACTTATATTTTGTGTATATATTTACTCTTTCTATCAAACAGTTTGGTACATTAACACCTTTGGAACCAAGATTAGGTAAAAAGTTAATTGGACCTTTAACCAACTTAATTCACAGGTAGGTATATATATGTGTGTGGTGGGCGGGTGAAACATTTTTTTCAAGAATTGGTTTTGTAGGGATTTTGTTTGATTGGTTGTAGGATTTCATCATGAGCTCATCAAAACTCACTAGGGGACTGGTCCTATTTAGGCAGTTATCTGGGCTTCTATTGAGAAGCCATGATCAGTAGGGTACAGCAGGTTGAAGGTGAAGACAATTACGAAGTGGTCGCACTATGTCATGAATTGGCAGAAGTTAGAATTCATGGATTAGCCATTATTGAGAAGTTGGGTCCCGGCGGTTTAATGGTTTACCTGCTCATCTTGTAACCAGTAGTTCCTGAATTCGAACCCCGGTGGGTGCGTACTGCCAAAGAGTCCCAAACTAGGACGAAACGGCTATCCAGCACTCCAGTACTGGTTTTCCAATAGTTCTCTAACGGATATCTGCTCATGATGAAATCCTCCAACCAATCAAAAAATTTCCTTCTACCTTTTTGATGATAATACTGTCAGTTATCATAACGGGGACATACATATATTATTTACTTTGATTGGAGGCTAGTCGGTGACTACTGGTATAGTGTGTTTAGTCCTCCTTTGTTAGGTGCAGATTGAGTTCTACCGGCAGTCAAGTTTGAAATGTGGCCACTATGCTAGGTTAGGTGGCTAGCTCGACATCACGGTGCACTTTGAATTGTTAATATATATTATTAGATGGTTGGAGACAATCGGAAAGAAGCCTTGCCTGACCTAGGTTTCGGGCTAGTTGGCACTCACACCAGTCAATCAGCAAGGCGTATCTGCAACCACCCTGTAAGAGGGACTGATATCTCTTCTGCAGCAGTCACAGTCAATGACGTAACCACTGAGCTATTTGGCCTCGCGATTAACCTCTCCTGTCAGACTGACTGACTGTATTGGATACTTTGATTGGACACTAGTTAGCAACTAGTGTTATGTTGTATCTGGTTCTTAGTGTTAGTGGTGGTGCAGACTGAATTCTCTCAATAGTCGAGTTTGCAATGTGACCAGCATTCTAAGTGACTGCAGTTACGCCTTGCTGACTGACTGACTGACTGACTGGTGAGGGCCAAATAGCCCGAAACATAGGTCAGACAAGGCTTCCTGTGGCCGATTGCCTCCAACTATCTAGTATCAACAATTCAAAGTGCACTGTGATGATGAGCCACCTAGTAGTGGCATCGTGTGGCCACATTGCAAACTTGACTGATATAATTCAGGACTAGACACATTACACTACTTACTGACTAATGTCCGATCAAAATAAAATAGTGTTTATATATTTTACAGGATTTTCAGTGGACTTTATTGCATGATATTTTCCCTTCTTCCAGGATCCACAAATAAAAGATTCTGTTTGTCTGTTTTCGACATAGAACTTTGCATATATGTGCGGAAGTTCAAGTCGCCACACTCCCTCCATATAGCACACAAAGCAAGAGAAGAAAGTAGAAGAAATGCATAATATAAACAGTAAACAGAGGAGTGAGACAAAGGAATAGTAATAACGAAGAACAAAACAGTTTCATTGGAAATCATAAGTCACAAGGAGTGGATGCGCAGCATCTGAGTCAGCCACTCAGAACGATTTTGAGCCATATCACCAATTGGCTCCAGCCTCCTTCATTGATGTTTACCGTCCCGAGGACCCCAACCAGTCAGGAAGTCTACACCTCCCCCTCTACATGGCTGGCTTATACTAACTGTTATAGATTTCATTGACTGATGAGGCCATGTTTTGGTTTGACCGCTGCTAGCTCTTTTCCAGCCTGACTCCTATATCAGTGGCTAACATTGCCTATTGTCGAGGAAGGCGATGACTAGTAGAAGGAGTGTGACATAGTTCTGTCTCATCTGAAACAAAAAAACCAACCCCACTATAATATCTCTTCTTTACCTTCCTCGAGAAATACACGAAGAAATTTGATTGAATGCTGCCATTTATAAAGAGTTCAGGAGTACATATTATGAATTAAGGACTCCATTCAGAAATACTTATCTTATATATATTGGGATAATCATGCCATTGAGGATAATGCTTCTTCTTATGTTTAATAGAAACTTGCCTACCAGCAGGTTGTAAATATTTTAATTGCTCTCAAGAGTAAACAACACTAATAGAAATCATATTTTACCTGATTTAAACAAATTGAATAAGAGAAATTCTATGCAGTATATATGGGTAGTCCAAGTTTTAATTAGGTCGCCAACTAAAAAAGTGTATGAAAAATTGGTCACGAAACAGTGTTATCGATATTATAAGTTTCCAGACCGTAGGTGTTACGAACTTCCTGGAATAATTTGAGCGCCGAGTCAGATTGATTCATCATAAATTATTTAAATTAATCCCAGCGTGTTAAGATTGTTTTGATTTTCTTAACATGCTGGGATTAATTTAAATAATTTATAATGAGTGTTATCGATAGTTTTTTCTTTTTCTTTTTTAACAATATATCCGTTTTATTTATCTATTTATTTTTGAAAATTCTAATGTATACATCAAAAGACGATAAGTATTCACATTTATGTGATTAAATTAATTTTTACGAGTTGATCACGGATGGATATCAGTTAGAGAACCATTGAAAACCAGCCGGGGAGTACTGGACAGCTGCTATTTCATCCTAGTTTGGGAATCATCGGTAGTACGCACCCACTGGAGGGGTTCGAACCCAGTATCTTCCGGTTACAGAGCAAGCTAGCTGGTATACCATTCAGCCACTGGGACCGGATTCAACGACCAGTGCATTTAGCGCGACTGACACCAACCAATGTCGTCGGTGGGACATCCATCCACACACGTGACATCTAATTGGACCTCAGTGGTCACGACTTCTCACTAGAACTTACTCTATGAAACTCCATCCTGAAGCATGTCATTAGCGAGCATCAGATTAATTTTCTATACTTTGGTTTGTAAGGGTTAGTTATGTTATTGCGAGTTGATCACGGACATAACTAACCCTTACAAACCAAACTATACAAAATTAATCTGATACTCGCAAGTGACTTGCTACAGGATGGAGTTCTAGTGAGAAGTCGTGACCAGTAAGGTTAATCCAGATTGTCATGTGTGAGGATGGATGTCCCACCCACGACACTAGTTAAGGTCACGCTAAATCATGAATTGGTAGAAGTTAGAATTCAAGGGTTGGCCACTGAGGTATCGGGTCCCAGTGGCTGAATGGTATACGAGGTAGCTTGTCTTGTAACCGGAAGGTGCTGGGTTCGAACCCCACCAGTGAGTGCGTACTACCGATGATTCCCAAACTAGGATGAAATAGCAGCTGTCCGGTACTCCCTCCAGTGCTGGTTTTCAATGATTCTCTAACTGATATCAATCTGTGATCAACTCGTAAAAACAAATCTAATCCTTACAAACAAAACTATAGAAAAATTAAATGAATTCTTGTTTTTACACTTATTTTTGTAGTACATCAGCAATGTCCCTCTTATATGAATGCATAAACACAGTCGTTGCAGGTATGTTATTCATGTGTTTATATGATGTAAGCGTATCTATTCTTTAAAACCATGGTGATATTTATTTATTTACAACTTATAAAATACATTATGATGGTTAGAGTTAATTAATGTGAGAATCTAGTCGGCGACTGCCTAACTGATTGACAGGTCTGAACATAGAACTTTGTACAGATGTGCACCACTTCCAGTCACCCCCCCCCCCACACACACACTGTCTCTCTCTCAACACACAAAAACCAATAGAAGAGAGTAAAACAGATTCAATAGAGAGAAATAATAAACACAAGTGTGGGGGAAAAACAGTAATAATATGGAAGAACAACATAATTTTATTGGGTATGACTGACAAATCAAAAAGAAGAGTGAATCCATCTGCGCTGTTATTGACAACGAGGATTTTCAGCCATATCATCAATTGTCTCCAGTCGCCGTCAGTGGTTCTCACCATCCTCGGCACCTCAACCAGCCAGTTAGGCAGTCTACACCTCCCTCCCTGTCTGACTGACTTTAACTAACTGTTACAGATTTGAATGAGTAATGAAGCCATGTTTTTTTTAACCTTTTCCAACCTGATTGATCCTATGTCAGGAAGAGATTATTACCCATTGTCGAGGAAGGCGATCGATGGCTAGACTAAACTAGGCAAGTGTAAAACATGTCGTAGCGATCTCACTCAATACATGTAACTCCACAACCTCATTGATTGATTTTCTGTCCTCACCTAGCTAGCACTCGATCGAAGCCTAACCTCCTCAATATTACTCACCGTATTATAATACTATCATATACTTAAACAGGAAATAAAACACAGCAGACACCTATGATGAAAGGCAGCCAACTAGCTAGCTAGACAGGCTTTTTATGTCTTTCACTTTCCATTTGGGCCATGTCTCATTCCCAGCCAGCCGGCCAGCGATGAAGGAGGATGGAACAAAGTGATTGCTGAACCTGACCAGTACACAGATCCTTTAGTCGACAGCTAGCCAGCCAGCCGGATGAATATCAGGTCTACTAAGTCAGAGATGGCTTGAGTTGGCATGCAGATGCTAAACGAGCCTTTTGTATCTGGTTTGAGATTTCGTCAATGAACAAATCAACTCACTGATGGGGCTGATGCAACTTCCCCTCAAATAAATGAAGTGATCAACATCCTCCACCAATTACTTCACTCCTGCCTCCGTATCTTTAAGCTAGCAGTGAGTCAATGTATTCCAGTCCAGTCCAATCCTGTAGTTTCATCTTCTTCCACTTGATAGGAGTGAATCTCATGCAAACCACATTCGGTTTGACAAGATTCTGACCAACAGCGACTCAAGGTTATCTCAGCTAATCTCACCTATCAGTTAATAATTAACTGATTCAGCGAAGAAAATTTTCTTTATCGACGAAATCATCTTCAGAGGCTGTACAGTCGTATTTATACTTAGAAGAATGTATGGTGGTCTATTATTGAATAATAGGGGGTGACATAATTGCTGTAATTAATCATAAGTGGCTTTAGAGGTGAAAATTAAAAGTTGTAAATTACATGGTACTTGACGGAACAAAGATAGAAGTTAGAAAAGGTTAAAATTGCTCTTGAGTGAGAATAAAGTTATTAGGGTGTCAATTTAACAAGTGTGAAGAAGGTGTGAAAATATATGAAATTGATAATAGTGAATTAATTATTAAAGCAAAAGCAAACTAAAAGTAAAATTAAAGATTAAGAACAAAATCAAAAATATTTTTTAACAGGGAAGGATAAGTGAAGAGGTTAAGACCAAGGTAGAATAAGAGACTGGACAAACTTTTTCTGTATACAGAGATCAGGGTTGTATTGATGTATTGCCAGCGCCTCCGCCATACACAAAAGCCGGAACCTGACGCCTTTTGTACAATTTGGCTTCACTTTGTAGATGATGTTGAAAGACGACTCTGGTGGAGCTACGTGGCCTGAGTTCACCAAATGCTCGAGAATTGAGCTAGTAATTGTCTTGCATTGTCCCTTTGCTAACCATGCCGGATAATGTTCAGAGATGCGTTTGGAAAGCGTGCGCTTTGTGCGGCCAATATAACTTGCTCCACACGAGCATGTGAATTTATAAACACACATTGAGGTGGCCCAAAGCGGCAGCTTATCCTTTACACATCCGTTGATCATTCGTCGGCTGTAGAAATTGATACGTAGCTCAGCCATAAAGAAGGCTTTCCTCAGTGATCTGCGTAAGCGATTCTTCAGGATCTCAGCTGCAGTATCACCTTTAAATTCAACGCTCATAAAGAGCGGTTTCTTCGGCACAGTCTGAATTCTTTCGGGCTTTTCTCTTAGCTTCATGTTTTTCTCGATGAATCTTGGAGGATATCCATTCTCTAAGAGAACTTGTCTGAGTCGCTCCAATTCCCCATCGATTGTATCACTTGAACATATCCTCCTTATTCTTGAGGATAGGGAATGGATCAAATTTCTCTTTCTTCTTAAAGGGACCCAGCTATGGAAATTTGTGTACTGACCATTCCATGTTGGTTTCCTGTAGATCGATCTTTGAAGAGAGCCATCAGATCTCCTCTTTAGAAAAACATCCAAAAAGTGGAATTCCGAGTTAATCTCTGATTCCGACGTGAATTTGATGGCATGATGGCAGCTGTTGAACTCATTAGTTATCAATTCGACGTCAGTATTGTCGTCACATATGATGAAGGTATCATCCATGTATCTTAGGTACAGATGGAAACTGTCGATAGTAGGCCATAAAGTACTATTCTCCAGACTGGCCAAGAAGCAATCTGCAAGTAAAGGACCCAGTGGTGACCCCATTGCTACTCCATCTCTTTGTCTATATATCGTGTTGTTGAATTTGAATTGAACATTTAGAGTGCACCTCAAAAGTAGTTCCTTTAAGTAGTGTATCGGAACACATACGTCCACATTATTATCTTCAATGAATTTGCATAAAAAGCAGATAGTTTCAGTGAGGGGAACGTTGGTGAAAAGCGAAGTAACATCCATAGATATCATTTTCTTCCCAGATACATTAGCATCATTTATTGAGTCGACGAATTCAAACGAATCAGAAACACTATGCTTGCAGAGATTATTTCTGATAGGTAGGAGGATTTCTGTGAGCCATTTGGCAGTAGCATGATATGGAGAATTTTTCATGTCCAGGATTGGACGTAGTGGCACGTTCTCTTTGTGCACTTTTGGCAGACCATATAAACGGGGAATCACGGAACCGGAGGGTCGTATTTGCTCGAATAATTCAGAGCTAATAATCGATTCGTTCTTCATATTCTTCAGCATTTGTGTTATCTTGCTCTCAGTTTGTTCCGTTTGGTCTTTCTGGCTACTTTCTTTTGAAAATTTGTTTTCATCTGACAAGACTGATAACATTTTATCGATGTAGTCTTGGCGATCCATCAGGACAATGCCAGAACCTTTGTCGGGGCGTGTCACAACCAAGTCTTTGTTCTTTAGAATCTCACGCAATTGCTTTCTGTGCTCGGCTGAAATCAATCTTCTCGCTTTTGGTTGCGTGTTGATGTACTGATGGCAGCTATTTAATACTGTAGACTTGAATTGTTCATATGATTTGTTGGACGCTGCAGAAAGGTCATTTGTCTGTTGGATCAGTGCTTCAAATTGGACTTTGATATCCAAGTCACTCGAGTTTGTCGAAATATCGCAGAATTTTGGACCCAACGACAAGGCTTGCAATTGGACAGGAGTCAGCGATATATTAGAGTAGTTGAAGACGTATTTTTCTGGTTTGGCAGGAAAACAAGAGTAAGTGTCAGCGGCTTTGAGGCTGTTCGCGAGTTTCAGGTTTACATCTTCACAGCGTCTTGTTGAAACTGACTCGATGTAGTCCATGAAACTTCTCTGCTCGTCTTCTGTCAGCTCATATAGAGCATGTGTTCTTAGTGAAATGTTTCTCTCTATCTCCGGTAGGCGAGATTTTATTTCATCGATGACGTTCAGTGTATGACGTTTCAAAGAGCGATGGTTTGGATGAATATGATTGCGACGAAGACATTTCCAGAAGTGCTTGGGATATTCTTTCTTATCAATACAGCTCTTCAGAAAACTGATTCTTGCATTCGCTATGGCAAGCTTGACAGAAAACTTAAGAAACGTATCAAGTTCTTTCACTGTCACAGGGTTCTTGCTCTGTTTCAAATCACGGAAAATACCCATTGAGTCATGAAGAAAATAAAAGACGGATTCAGCGAAGAAAATTTTCTTTATCGACGAAATCATCTTCAGAGGCTGTACAGTCGTATTTATACTTAGAAGAATGTATGGTGGTCTATTATTGAATAATAGGGGGTGACATAATTGCTGTAATTAATCATAAGTGGCTTTAGAGGTGAAAATTAAAAGTTGTAAATTACATGGTACTTGACGGAACAAAGATAGAAGTTAGAAAAGGTTAAAATTGCTCTTGAGTGAGAATAAAGTTATTAGAGTGTCAATTTAACAAGTGTGAAGAAGGTGTGAAAATATATGAAATTGATAATAGTGAATTAATTATTAAAGCAAAAGCAAACTAAAAGTAAAATTAAAGATTAAGAACAAAATCAAAAATATTTTTTAACAGGGAAGGATAAGTGAAGAGGTTAAGACCAAGGTAGAATAAGAGACTGGACAAACTTTTTCTGTATACAGAGATCAGGGTTGTATTGATGTATTGCCAGCGCCTCCGCCATACACAAAAGCCGGAACCTGACGCCTTTTGTACAATTTGGCTTCACTTTGTAGATGATGTTGAAAGACGACTCTGGTGGAGCTACGTGGCCTGAGTTCACCAAATGCTCGAGAATTGAGCTAGTAATTGTCTTGCATTGTCCCTTTGCTAACCATGCCGGATAATGTTCAGAGATGCGTTTGGAAAGCGTGCGCTTTGTGCGGCCAATATAACTTGCTCCACACGAGCATGTGAATTTATAAACACACATTGAGGTGGCCCAAAGCGGCAGCTTATCCTTTACACATCCGTTGATCATTCGTCGGCTGTAGA